TTCAGTACAAGAGCTGTTTGGAACCAAGCCTCTTTTGGTACAAGAATAGCATCGCAGATTGAATATTATGAAATGTTTGTCGTTTAGGTGGAGGAGGTGGACAATAGGTATTCTATGCGAATGCAAGGCCTGATGTCGGACAATACAGACTTAAGGTAAGTCAAGAATCAGCGAAGAAGATGGGCTTTTATGATAAATTGTTGGAAAGTCTGTTTTAGACCGTCTCTTTGGCCGGAAAGAAAAGAAACTGCCTGCATGTACAGCTCATAAACCTTCGTGCGAACTCTTCCTTTTCAAACGGAAAATGTACGCTACAACTCGCTGTACTGTGCTTATTCGATGAAAAAAAGAAACTGTTAGGCTGAGTCGCTGGGCAAGGGAAACACCAAGATTGTTAACATCGTGAACTTAATAAAGGCGAATGAACAGTCGAAACTAATTCTGGAAGGCTGAAATTTCAGGCGTTCGCAGTTTGTCAGAGCCAATAAAAATGTTTTGCTATATATGTCGCCATGTTGATTGCTTGCTCAGTCAAAAATCACCTTGAATCTTTGGTTGTTCTTTTGTTGGCTGCGAAGCGTGGAAAGGAAACAAGACAACTAAAAGGAAGTTATAAGACAATAGTAACAGACTGATACGTACTGTAATTTGATATGATATGAATGTGCAAGTCCGACAAACTAAACCAAAAGTTGATCGGTAAAGATTTCGTGACGGAAACTAGCTTGGCTACAACTCCCTCCCAAAATGCACCCCACCCCTACCCTCACAATATCCTGTGGGACAAGTATTTCCCGAAGTATTTCCAGTGTTGAATTACGAACATAATGGGTTTAAACGTTGTTAAATGTGCTTTATACGCTTTCACTTCAGGCGTCACTACATCAAGAAATGTGAACAGTTTTTCAAACTGAAGACGGAACAAGATATAGAACAAGTAAGTTTTCTGTTAACGTCTCAACCTACAGCTGATGTAGTCATTATATGACGTCATTTCAACTATTATTATTATTATTTTCAACAAGTCGATGATAATGAAATGCCGTAATGATTCAATTTAGCACTAATTTACTTTTGTAGCTCCACAGATAGCGATCAGACCATCAAACCCTCAGACCTGTTGTTTAACTGAGAATCATTAAATTTTTTTTTTTTTCTTACAACAGGAAAGTTTTATTCGCACGGCCAAGAGCACAATGCAGGTAAGTAATTGGTGTTCGTTAAGACCCGTTGATACCGGCAACATTTTCCTTGCAACAAATTGCGTTGCTATCTTGCAACGCGTTTTTGTGTATTTCCAAGTGTCTCAGTGTTTTCCAAGTTTGCTTCAACGTATTGCTGCATCTTACGAAACGGTGGCCATACACACAAGGACGCTTCTGAACTTGCCATGCAGTATTTGTGTGCGACATGTTGCAGGGAAGATGCTGCCCTTATCAGCTCGCCTTAAGTCATTTTTTTTTCTTTGAATATAATCATATGTTATGTAGGGGAACTGTGCCTAATCTAATCGAACGTGCGTTGGACTCTGGATCGAGGAATTCGGGTTTTAAGCATGACCGGAATCATTGCGCTGTGTTCTTGGGTGGTGTATTGTTAGGATGCTGCGGGGTGGGGTGGGGGAAACTGTGGTAAACTGTCATCCCCTTGATAGGGAGGGGACTTCAAAGTCACTTTGGAAAATGGCGCCAACTTAACGAACAGCTTAAAGTTTGCTGTTCATCAATATTCTTGTGATTCCCTTTTTTTCCTTGTCCTTACCAGGCCGTTATTCTTGCTCGAACAAGATGTGACGTCAGTCTAACAGCACTCCGAGACGAAAGCCCGGATAATATTCAAACCTCAGAACTGAGCATTCGCACAAAGCGACCAATGAGCGCCCCGGGAACCAGAGATGAAATGTCCACAGCAGAAAAATTGACCTCTGTAGTCAATGAAAATACATCGCCAGCAACATCACCGAGAATTCCTGCCCAGAAGTCGGAACTAAACAAACTAAGACCTCATACATCACATCACGCCAGCCTGTTCAGCCCCAGGAACGCTCGCTTTGGAATCCGAGAGAGCCTGGTACCAACACCGGTGAATGTTTCCAATCTAGGGATACAAAATCTGCGTGCTCAAAGGGAATTTTCAAGTTGACTTTGTCAAACATTGTATGAAACACGGGTCTATTTATGAATTTCGGTTATTTATTAATGACTGATGAAATTTTGTGCGCAGTTAACTGCGCTTGTATTTCTTTCCATCACATAAACATGGTACTGCAGACATTGAAGTTAAGATAATCGCACCGAGTTTTTAACTTGAAGATAGCAATTTCTCGCGCGACTGAGTATCGCTCTCGCGTTCACCAAATAGAGAAAAACGGGTCGATTATAAAGATACGGTAAATACGAAAAAGCTAACACGAAGAAGGAGCTAAGAAAGTATTTGGAGGAAAACAAACGTTTCAAGAAAAAAAAGATAGTCGGGAGACAATGGATGGAGACACCGAACGAAGCCTCGGCAAAGCTCGTAAACTACAAAGATTTTGTTTCAGCTGAATGTATATAAGTTATGTTAACGTGTTTTTCTTGAAATTAATGTGTTTTGTAACAAAATTATTATATTTAAATTGTTTTGATGTACAGACTAATAAATAGAAATAAACGCGACAATTGTTAAAAATGAGGTGCTTTTCAGTTTTTTTTTTTTTTTATAATGGCCCAGTTCATACTGGAGATAAAAACTCCGACTCGGAATTTATATTAGCAGCCTATTAGCAGATGATTCCTGCATCAGTCGTAAAATTCGGCCAATCACTTTTGTAATTACTTGTGGCAGGGGATTTTCACTTGAGTGTGGAAAGTAATTTGCATGGGCTTTGTTTTGAAATCCTACGTTAACTGATTGGTTAAAAAAGACTCACGCCACTCTTAACCAATCAGAAGTTAAACTAAAACCACTCGTTACGTGCTCGCGCACGTTTTCCCGCGCTTCTCACACCAGCTTCATGTTCACGTGTATATGTCTGGAGTTTTGATTGGTTCACTGGATTTTTTCTGTCCTTTGTGATTGGCCAATATGCAGTACTTTCGTTTTCATTTTACGACACCATTGAAAACCGCTCTAACAGTCAGTTGTAATAATAATTTGCATTCCTTAGTCGTGTTTTTAAAATAAGCTGTAGGCTGTTAGTTGTGTTAAAAATATGTTAGTGTGAATTTTATTTTTTTTTGCCAGTTATTGTTATTTTCATAGAAGGAAGAACTGGATGGGAGGACCATTAAATAGTTACTTGAAAATCCACACAAAAAATATCAATCAAAACTAAATTTATAATTTTATTTTTATTTTCTTGTTGTAATTCATTGACAAGGAATTGCTTTTAGAACATTCCACAGTTTTACTACCCCTAACTGAGTTTTTTAAGCAAATCTCAACTTGCCTTGATTTCTCGCAACGTCATCATATTATCTAGAGAAAAAAAAATTTATTTCTTTATTTTTCATATTATTTTTTAACTTTAAAGAACATGTCATCAGTTTTCCAGGTTTATTAATATAGAAAAACCTTGAAAAACTCGCTTAAAAGCGCTTGGCTAGCATAACTTTGTATAGGGGATTAAGAGGGTGGGGGCGAGGCCTATAAGTGAGATATACATAAAAGAATCTAAAATGCGTTTAAATATTCAAGACAAAAACACTTTTTCTTTACAGAAATGTCCAATACCTGAACTAAGTTGAACTAAGTCAGTGCGTTTTTCAGATATTTTTACATTGTTTCTCGATTTATCATGACAGTTAAATAAAGTGATTTACATGTATCATGTATTTTATTTATTTAATTATTTATTTATTTATTTGTTTATTTTACGTTGCTGAGTAACTACGCCTAGAAATTCGCATGTGCAGCCAACTCAACTATTAAACAAATGACTTAATCACGAGGCATCTGTCTTTTAATCAAGCAGGTGCGTGGCTTTGTTTTGATTCTCGAGTACTCCAAGAGGATTCATATTAAATACAGCGAGCTCCGCAATTCATGACCTCGAATTAAGAGCATTCCTCTCTTTACAGTCCCTTGCCCTAAGCCCCGTCCACACTAAGCCGTAGGAATTTGAAAACGCAGCTTTATTTCTACGGTTAGGCCTACCGTCCACATTAATTCCTCACGAAAACGGAACTTTTCGAAAACGCTCTTCAAACCGGAGGAATTTGAAAACGCCGCAGTTCTGCGTTTTCGTGTGAGCGGAAATATTTAGAAAACGGAACTTTTTGAAAACGATTAAGTAACGATAATCATGTGATTTCCCTGGCTGGGATTTCTTCAAACGCAAATATCCAAAACTGACCGATGATTACTGCGTTGTCAAATTCCTTCGGCGTAAGGACGCGTGGACGGGGCGCTAGTTAATATTTGCATCTAGTACCCTACCTGCTTATGAGTCACAGCCGTACAACTCAAGCCGCATGCACATCCAAGCCTGTGGGTTGTCGTGCGGAAGGACCTTGACATACCGGGCCTTAACAGGATTAAACCTGTTTAGCACAGGAGTGAAGTGGTCACAGTTCCCGGTAAATATCTGCGAGGGGAAAAAATAAGTAACAATAATAGCGTTTCATCACAAAAATGACTAGAGGATAAACTTTAAAACTTGCTCAAGTAATCACAAGGTAGGTTGCTGGCAGCCAGTTTTTTTTTTCTCTCTCTCTCTCTTAGGGTCAGACGAGTGTTGATCCGTGAATTCGAATGAAAATGGGTGGTATGGACGATAGGGGTTAGGGCGAGACATGAGTGCCGCGCCCTCCCAATCCCTTGTAGTTTAAAGCGTCTCGGCTCATACTCAGCTGCGAGGAGTGATCGTCACCCTATCTCAACTCACCTTGCTCGTCCCATTCTCCTTGTATCGTTCCCAGGACACACCGTCCGTACTGAATTCCAGCTCATAGTTTTTCACGTGTTCATAGAAAACATCGCGACCTGAAGAACAAATAGACATTGTTTCTAACTGGTTATCGCCATTCAACTACTAATTATCGCACTTATCACTTTGGAAATTGCAAGTGAGAGAATTTTTAAGAAGAACTAAGTTAATAAGATTCTTTCAAATGTTTTTGGTCTCAATTTTCTCCAATCTTAACCATATTTGTTAGCTTCTTAGTATTCATACCAATTCCACCATCCTGCCTTCTTCCCAGTCTCTCTTCTGCCCCTCCCTCCCTCTCTCTCTGTTCCTAGCCTCCTACCTAACGCTTCCTTTCATCTTCCCTCCTTCCCTCCTTCCTGTCCCCCTCCCTCCCTCCCTTCCTTAGGCTCGCTCTCCTTTTGCTGTATCACCTTGTGTTGCAATTCCTGTGATCTTCTTCACTTGTCCCAGGTCAACCTTAAGCCATTGTGGATTCCTATTGGATGCGCACCAGCCTCCGATTCGCTTCTGGTCATGATTGTCCTCATAGTACAAGCGTGCACTGCTTGCACTGGCGACCCAACCTCCACCTTGAAGAACAGAGAACATATTGCGTAGGTGTACTGTGTAAGACATAATTTCGGCTGAACGATGTATCGTTATCCATTTTCAGATCATAACCTATTGAAAACTCTAAAGAAAATGTGGTGTACGTTTATAAATACTCAACAGATGACGAAGATGGTCTAAGACTGCAATAATTGATATACAGTTTTCTAGCCTTTGACTTTCGTATTTATAAAAGTCGTAAATGAAACTTACGTGGAACGAGAGGAAAAGAATAGTCTCGTACCTGGAGTCATTTCTGATGAAGCACTGAAAGCGCTGTCTGGCAGCTTATAATCCCAGCCAAGACCTAGAGGAACTGCGCATGCTCCTAAGGACAAGATAACAAATCATATTTTACAACTTTGTTCCAAGACTGACGATTTTACATTACGACGCGGCAACAGGTGGAGATCAAACCACAGAGGTGCGACGTCTACACGGTTAGCGCAAGAGACTATGGCATCAAGAGAAAATACAGTTTGGAAAATCCCTGTTTTGCAGTGTGAGCCACATTCAATTTGACAATAGTTAACTATCAGCTTGAGATTTAAATGGTGATTTCCAGTTTTGTATGCTCTCTATCGTCGTCTGACAAACCTGCTGGTTGTGGAGGTTGAGTGTCGCACTTTGCTTTGCAGCTGATGAGACAGTTTCGAAATGTCCAACCAGACTTGATGCACTCGCCGGCGGACGCCCATCCGGGACATCTAGTGCTCTTGTCAGCGCATCGTAAACCTGTAAATCCATTAGAAAAATACCCGATTAAGTTCTTCCTTCTAAGGTCGAATATCAATAAATCCAGCACTTTGTTTTTCAGCTAGCCCTTTGTCTCTGTTTCATGTTTCATGTTACATGACGAAGTACGTCTTGACGAGCCACTGTCCTAAGGAAGAGGGAGGACCCTAACCAAAGAGGTTGGGCACTAAAAGAGTTATGTTTTAAAGAATCACTGACCGACAGCCAAAGAGGGAGCCTGAGTTCCAGTTGGTAGTGGCGGGGTAGGCTGGGTTTGAGTTGGTGGAAGTGGCGGTGCCTGTGTCGTCGTTGGAGCTGGAGGTTGGGTTGGCGGTGGAGTTGAACCTGTTTGAGAAAAATATGATTGTTTTTGTTTTGCTTTGGCTTGCATCCCTGGTGACCTGTTACAAGAGCTATTAGGGAGCTTAAGCAATGACGCTGGCAAACTCAAATCTATGATTAAGTAACAAATTTATATTGAATAATTTATATTTTGTTGAACATCGCAGTTATTTCAATCTGTTTAGTAAGCATACGTCTATCAGTCTAAAAACTTTCTCAAGCTAAATATGTAATGAAATCTTTCAATTTCAAATAGAGAGACTAAAAATTGCTCCGTCGTTATTCAGTTGTTTTCCAAAATACGCAGAATTTGATCAATCAGTTTCGTGCCATTTTTGCGGACGGCGGTTACTAGATGTACCAAGATGTATAACGTTTTAGCAAAGCTGTGAGGGGGTAAATTGCCTCATTGTGGAATTGGCTGAGAGCAGGCCAATTTATCGTAAATTACATTTTACACTGCATTAGCAAACGTTCGTGATGTTCACAGTCATACAATAAATGGATAATCGTATAAAAGATCAATAAAGGATTTACACTACTCGTGATATTTGAAAATTCTTTCAAATTGCTTTCGCCTAAAGGCTCGTGCAATTTTAAGTAAAATTTCAAACATTACTCATAATGTAAAAATTCTTAACTGCACTTGCATTTCATATACGAATACCTATATTCCCAATTAGTGTTTGATAGCAGTACTGTCCTACCTCCACAAACATTGCAGCTGTGAGGACAGTTTGGTAACATATATCCTGGCGCTGACTGACAATGACCATCCTGAGCCCACATTGGACAATTTCCATTCTTGTCAATGCAGGAGTCTTAAAAAGAAAACAAAAACACGTGTTCATCGTCACCCTTCATGTTACCTCCCCCTTAATGATCAAAATATTTTTTCTTCATTTCACTTCATTGTTACGTAGGCAGGTGGGAAGAAAATAAAAGATATATAAAAAGCTAGCTGGGAAACATTTTCTTAATTTTAACCAGATTCAAGACGCCAAGATTCGAGCTATGGGCAAATATGGTCGGATGCGGTCTCGAATGAGGGCAAAGGAAGATGGGAAGACCTGTTAAGACCTGGAGAAGGTCGACTAAAGAAGAGATGAAGATGGCCAACATCAACTGGAACACAGCTGAGAAGATGGCACCAAACAGAGTCCACCGGCGGTGCATTGTTGACGCGCTTTGCTTAAAGGAAAGCCTAAAGGATAAAGTCAGTAAGTCAGTGATCTGGAGTGACTGCTGAGGGCCGTATTTTCAGCTCTCTTCTTGTTGTTTGGAAATGTAGTGAAATACTCTCTCTCGTGTTTGGCATATTACTTAAACCTACATTGAGGTACTTCAAGGGTCATTTTATTTTCATATGTATGAATCTGATGCTTTCAGCTTCGCTGACGAGTATGTATCACAAATTGCATGTTTCATATTACAGATTTCCAGTAACAACAGAGTTTTCTTGTTTGGATATCATTGCCGGAGGTAAATTAACGTTTTACCTGAACTACAAAGGTCACATGTTTTCGTGCACCAGTACAGCATATTGTCCGCATGCTGAGAACACAAGCCATTCCGCTTGAATTCGTCACACCGCTGACTTCTATCAATGCACTGGTTACCTGAAAAAAAATGAGACATGAGAAAATAAAAACAAACGAAGAATGCCTGAAAAGCAAGCAGTGATTCTAGCGCGCAGTCCCAGCTATCGTAGTAATGATATGGGGGGTAGTTGAGGTTTGCATCATGATCAGGCCTAAACAGCCGCGGAGCTCACTACAGTTTCTGTAGCACTAAGCAACTAGAAGTATTTCTACTCCCCTCTGGATGGGATACTAGTTCATTGCAGGGTTACCCTGGCATTCTATTCGCCGGTACCCATTTATACACCTGGGTGGAGAGAGGTACTGCGAGAGCAAAGTGTCTTGCCCTTGGCCATGAACACAACCAACTCGGACCGCTTGATTCAGAGTCCAGCGCCTCTACGATGATATTGAAACCAGAGGCGCTCAAAAGTACCCTCTATGGTGAACATTTTCTAACATGCGATCAGGCAGGAAAGAACAGAACAACTCGAACGAAAAGACTGTTTAGTTGAATACGAACAACGTAAACTGTCTCTGATGATACTTTGAAATCAGTTTTGTAGAAACGAATGCGGTAATCAACAGGGAAGGACACAAGGAACACATCATATTAATCCAATGTAAAAAAATACACTCACTTCTTTTCTGAACTCCAGGAGCTGGCCGAAAGGAACTAAAACTATCGATGGCTCTTTTCCTCATAACGCCTGGAAAAGATGCATAGCACTGTCAATCTTACGCTCCAAATATTTGTTATGAGTTCCATAATAAATGGTTTCTAATTTATAAAATTGTTCCACAGACATGAGATAAAAATAAGACTACGTCGAAAGTGACGCGAAAAAAAGGAGGCAAATGATTTCTTGGGGCCATTTTTTTTTCTGGCCCTTCAGCTCATTGTGTTGTAAATAAGTATTTATACCGGCGCGGTATGAACTCATCAAACAAAGCAGCGACTTCTCAGTTGATGGTAATAAATTCTTGTGATACAATGTATGCAAAGATTTTAGTTTAATGGGCAGAGGAACCACATGCAACTCAGGTTAATTTAAACGCGTAATTAAATCGCGTGTAATTTTATCCAAGCTCTAAAATTTCAGCTGAGTTTGATTATTTTGTATTCAAGTTGGCACAATGAGTTCTAAATATGCTGTTTGTTTGGGTAGTGCGCTGATTAAAAGCAATTTTAGAGATTTTTTTCTGGGACGTGAATTATTTCTAACGTGACTGAAATAAAACCTAAATGAAAAGTATAACAAAGAATGCCATAACCGTATTTACTCACTGCTACACTTGTACATGGCATTCGTCTGCTGTGCGTCTCCATCACTGAGTACCACATAAGGAGTCTTGCCTTGCATATCAACGATATTACGGATAGTTGGTTTGCCATTTTTGGAGAAGGCCGTGAACGGGTAGTGCATGATAGAGGCAAAATCGTACGGCACACCATAATCCACCACTTCAGTTCCCCATTTCCTTTTGGCGAAGGCGTCTTCAAGACCTTGAAGAAAGAAATAATGGAAAAGAAATAAGCCATGTCCGAGTTGACGTCTGCCTCAGTGTCAAAACGAGTCTGCGTGCGAAGCTATTCTGTAATTCTGTTTTCAAAAGCACTGGCCAGTCCTATGAAAAAAGTCACTGGGTTAAGTAAACGTGGAAACGTTTGCCCTCGTAAAATGCCTCAATTTAAGCGAATAAAGAGCTAAGAACAGCAACATTCGTTTTGAGAGAGGCAACGCGACGTCGCGTCAACTAAATTTTCTTCACACTCGCAGAGGCATACGTGAGTTATTTACTGTACCTCATTTCAGCTTATACCGCTATGTAAGAACTATCTTTTAGCAATTAGACTTGAAGACGAAATTCACGTCTAAACGGAACCATGAAAATTCACCGTCCTGATTCAAGCTCTCTGCAAAACCCAAGATTCAGTCACGTTGTTGATTTGCAGCAGACACCAAACGAAATGTACCAAGATTTATTACGCACGTGCTCACTAATTCTAAGCTATTGTTTAACGACGTTTTCATTGTTCTCGCTGTGGTGTTTTGAACTTTACTCCCGTTTTGATTTGTTTTTGAAAAAATACGCCACTCTTTTAGCAGTTTTCTTCGCTAACAGTTGGGATAATTTTAATATTGCCAGTATAGCTGTCCCTTTATTCGCGCAATGCCAAAATTTCTCAAGTTGGCGACAGACATTAGAATTTTCCCAGAAAAAAAATTCAGTTTCAGCCAGAACTGAATATATTTTAGCCAGGGTTCAAAGGCCGGAAATATTGCTTGAAATTCAGATGGTTCCTAATAGACTTCGAAAAATTGTACTGAAGTGAAGTCCAGAATCAATATATGAGCTGTCTTTCTCCAGGTAAACACAATAAAGTTTTGATTTCATTAAAGATACTTTATTTCGCAAACTCCAAATTTCACAAGATAAAACATTAGCAGAAGCATATCACCTAGATCTAGGTGATATGCTTCTGACATTAGTTAATACCGAACTGCTTAACATCACCCTTGATTCTTTTACAAAAATGTTCATGTTTGGCTCCGCTGATCTTCATAGATAAGTCCCAGGGTAAATTATTGAAATAGAGGTGATATAATTTCTCAGTATAATTATAATTGAATAATCTCACCATCTAATACGTTCTCCCATATAACACTGATGTAGTTGTCACGGTCAGGCCTACTTTGCTCGTGCCAGAACCCAACTGAATGCCCGATCTCGTGTTCCATTACGTGCTGAAAATCGCAGT